CTCTTGCGTGACCATGAAATTACCGTTTCCGAATCGACTGCTGATTGTTTTATTCCTGTTAAAAATTGAAGAGAAGCATTCATTTCATACTACTTCAAACGTATAGTCTAACAGAAGTTATAGGCCTGACTAAATAATGCTTGTAGCAAACTGTCCATTGGTCAGACCATTAAAAACTTGATGTTCTACATCTCTAAGTTAGGACCATATGGAACATCATAGTCCTGTTTATTTTCAATTTATTGGTTTGGCACATATATAACCTCATAATCCTGTTGTCGATTCATGTAACGTTTATTTGTGCTACGTCGTTGAAGGTTAGACATCCAGGTAATAAGATACGTAAAAAAACAGTTACTCAAGTAACTGAAAAATCGTCAAATTTCCAAAATTATATCCAGTTGCTCAGTGAGTGACTGCTTCTGGCGTTATATGGACTTTTTATTTATTTATTTAACGTTATAGACAGGTAACATGAACGAAATACGTCACACTGAGAACTGATGAGCGAATTCGGAACGTGGGAGAGCAAACAAATGTCGCGTGTGTCAAGAATTTTAATGGTACTACTATACTGTTTACTAGGAAACTCTAGTAGTAAGGCTTATTACTTGACGTTGTGCATAATGGACTGGGTGGGGGGGGGGGGCCGCGGAAGGTTACACGAGAGGTCAAAAGAGGCGTGGTTAAATGTCTCAAACTTAGTGACCTCACGTTTTCAATTGTACAGATACCTAAGGTCATACCCGAATTCCGAAGTGTGCATTGAGGGCAAAAACGGGTGTGATAGAAATAATTACATGGGAAAAGAAACAGTTTCGTTTATTTTCCAACCCTGGGTCGCTAAATGACGTCATAATCACGTGACTGCAAACACTCAATGAATGAGGCCCATCGAATGTAACTCTTACCGGAACATATCCGCGGCGGTTTGGTTGTAGACCCAGCCGGGTGCTTCCGTTGGTATGGACCGCAAGGCTTCCTGGTCGGCCTGGAACCTTTTCTGAGCAACTGACTCATTCGGCACGTATCTTCGCATCAACTTCTGCTCCAGATTAGTCAACTTCCTGTCGGAAAAAATCGTTGATATTAGATGTGGTCAATGGTCCCTTCTGCCATTTTTAACGTTTAATATTTTAAGCAGGCTAGAAGAAATATGTATGAAATGCCATTTGAATCTTAACGCGCGAATCTTTAGGAAACAGATTGTTTTCTTCCTTGTTTTCCAATATGCATACAGACTCTGATAAATCCCGGGATGTGTGTCGATTTAAGAAATGGCCTCTACAGGGTTGGAAATTAGCTTGAAAATTTGTCTGTTTAATAGAAGTCGGCATAATTGTACATGTAGGTACGTGAGGAAAGAGCAGACTGGTTGAGGGGCTGAAAAGAGAGTTTACTTTGGCTTGGTTTGAGGCAGTCATCACAGGGAGGTACAGATTTGCGGCATGAGTTCAGGGATTTACTAGCCTGCGGTAACCAGTCTCAGCGGGTCAGCTTAGAAGTGTTTCCGACATGTGGGCATAGATGTGTGTCAGCAAAATGCCAAAGATGTGAGACATTCCTGTGGACATTCCATTCCTGTGGATAAAATGCCTGTACAATTCCTAGAATTCTTGCAAACTGCACACAATACTGTACCATTAGGCTTCCCCTGAGGCGTCAACAAAAAACGTTAGCAATTCTACTCTAGTCTTTGTTAAGGTATTAGCAATTCAATGCATTGCTTTTCTGTGATGTCAAGTTTCTTTCAGATAGAAAACGTGGCACAGTAGGCAGTAAAGTTTATAAGTAGCAGAACGTCTTGTCAACGGCACAGATATTTTAGCAAGAAGCCATATGGCATGGACATCAAACCATTACAACCATCACTGAATCACACAAGCTCACTGCGCACCGAGCCATGTGTTTTATCTGCATAACAGTCCAAATTTTTGCGTTGGAAATTAGAATTCAAATCTGCTTTTAAAATAAGACAAGAACCTCCATAGTATATGGTTGCTATATCTGTACCTTCCTATCATATCTGTCGTTTCCATGGATGTATTAATGACTACAATGGTTGTATTGGTGGTTCTGTTGTGATCTTCACTCTCTAGTCCTTTGAGAAGGGAGCTAGGAGAAAAAAGGAAAAGGCAATAATGTAAATACAAGGAGACTGTATGGCATCAATTACGGTAACGTTATGATAGTGCACTAGTGCTAATCCACCAAATCACCATTTAGCAATCGAGTTCTACGTAGTCTGTAGTAAGTTACACGTCACCTGTGCGTCTATCTTCAAGTATCATTTTCTTGGTTTTTAATTTATGCATTTTTATTCTTATCGATTTGTTAGTAAAGCTGGCGTCAGTGTCGCCATTTTAACTCTAGCTCTCCAAGGAATACAAAGAAAGTGTATCAAAGTTTCAAGCTTGCAAGAACAATTCGTCCATTCACACAGCTGATATATATTATATCCAGGACCGTTGCTAACTGGTTGCATTCCGGAATGAGTTAGGCGCAGGCACGGTTCTGGATACAATATTCATTAGTGGTTTGAATGGAAAAAATTGTCTCGGAGACTATCCAGAACCAGAACCATGCCTATCTAGTTCTCTTCCTGAATGAGTAAAAGTTAGCCTTAGGCGAGGTTAACGTTATGGATTGTCTCCGCATATCCAAGAACATTTGTCATGGTTCTGGGTAAAACACGGTTCTGGATACAACAGTTGACTTTCCAGGACAGATAAATTGCCTGCCTGTTCCAGGGTAGCAATGCTTTCCAGCGCACGGGGTATCCGCTAATAACAGTTTCCGACGGGATGAACAGAAACAACGGCACCGCCAACAGAAACATTAGGAACAGGGCGTAATATCTTCTCCTCATTTTGTGACAAGCTGAAAGAACAAAAAAATTAAAACAATGTAAAAACAATGTAACAAGCACCTTGCAGTTCCAGTCGCTAGGGGGGCCAAACCTACAACACAAATAAACGCCTTACACACACAGACACAAACAGACACACACAGACACACAGACACAGACACACACACACACACTCACACACACACACACACACACACTCACACACACACACACACACACACACACACACACACACACACACACACACACACACACACACACACACACACACACACACACACACACACACACACACACACACACACACACA